TGTCCTCCCCTTGCTTGAATTTTCTTGGCAGACTCAAGATGAAATAAAGATACTGGTTCTAACTGGTGCCATCTTGGCACTGGGGTGGATGGTAGGGAATTGGGTCTAACTGGCACCATCTTGTCTTCTTGGTGGATGAAGGTGAAGCCCCACACTCTGGTGATGGGAGTGTCTGAATTCTAAAGGTAGGGGCAGTTCCTGCCAGTCCTGTGCCATGAACTTCCAAGGCTCCTCTCTTGAGCTCCCTGTGACCCTGCCCTCTGACCATGACCCTATTTAGGCTCTGACCAGCTCAGTCACTATTTTGCATCATGCTATTTTGCGCCATGCTATTTTGCACCATGCATCGTGTCTCCTAACTCATCAGGTCACTATGGTATCCCTCTTCACCTCTCTATTATTATTTGTAGAGGAGGAATGATTCAATTTCTAACACTTTCTAATACTTATGGCAAACAGAGAAGCATAAATTTCCAGGGCTGGAAAGGTGGCTCAGTGGTAGAGTGCTTGCCTTGCATGCATGAGACCCTGAGTTCGATTCCTCAGCACCACATAAGCAGAAAAAGCCAGAAGTGGAGCTCACGTGGTAGAGTGCTAGCCTTGAGCTGAATTGCTGAGTGAGGGACAGTGCCCAGGCCCCAAGACCAAAAAAAAAGTATAAATTTCCTAGCAAGAGATGAACTTCAGGCAGAGGATGAAAATTTCAAATGTATCCAAGATCTTCAGATTGTACAAGATTTTAAAAATTTAGTTTTTGGTTTTTGTTTTTCAAATAGGTTCCTATTCATCTTGAATCCTCTAAATTATCTGTGTGCTCTTACAAATAAATCATGAAGAAAGCATGGACAAGTTGCTATCAAAGGAATAATTTTACTTGATGTTTCTAGTAATACCAAAGTGTAAACAAACTGACAGTCTTACATATCGAGGTTGTTATCTCCTTTGTACACTAATGCTTAAGTAGTTACAGAAATAGAATTGGGTAGCCAGAAGCATAAGGTAACTTCCTCAAACCCTTAGAAAGTTTGGTCTTAATTTCAAAAACACTGTTACATATAAAAAATCATCATGTAAAATCAATATGTTGATGAGTATTTTTGTTACTTTAGTTTTTGTAATTTTTTTTTTCTGTATTAACTGGTTAGAAAAAGCAGACAGTCCTTGATAACAAGGATACTTAACTTCTTTATGCAAACCAGAGCATGCTTTAAATGTCAATAGCCAACAAAACAAAACAAAACAGCAAAACAACAAAAGACAACAGGCTGGCGGTGGCTGAGATTTGAGGATTGAGGCTCAAAGCCAGGCCAGATAGGAAAAGTCCATGAAACTCTAATCTCTAATTAACCATATAAAGCCATCAGTGGAACTGTGGCTCAAGTAGTAGAATGTTAGCCTTGAGTAAAAGTACCCTGTAGTAAGACAGCAGTGCCCAGGCCCTGTAGTTAAAAAAAAGTTTTTTAAAAAGTAATCACTTAGCCGGGCGCTGGTGGCTCACGCCTGTAATCCTAGCTACTCAGGAGGCTGAGATCTGAGGATCACGGTTCAAAGCCAGCCCGGGCAGGAGAGACCGTGAGATTCCTATCTCCAATAAACCACCAGAAAACCGGAAGTGGCGCTGTAGCTCAAGTGGTAGAGCGCTCGCCTTGAGCTGAAGAGCTGAGGGATAGCGCCCAGGCCCAGAGTTCAAGCCCCACGACCGACCAAAAAAAAAAAAAAGTAATCACTTAGAGAAAAAGCAAAAATCACAATGAATAATCACATTGAAAAATAAATTCACTTTTGACATAGAGTATTAAAATCGCATTATGTAATTTGTTTGTTAAAATGATTTTTAGAGGGCTGGGGCAATAGCTTAAGTGGCAGAGTGCCCTGGAGTGTGAGGACCTAGATTACATCTTCAACACACAATTTTTTTTTCTTTTAGTATGTTAAGGTTCTCAGGTAACAGGTAACTTTAGTCACACATATCTTCGGATTCTCACAAATAAGTAGAGAGGTAGGCTACTATTATAACCCAAGGAACTCATGGTTAGTGATTTCAGTAAACTGACATTTCTAGGAACACAAAGTACCTAGAACTATGGTTTAAATGTCTATAGTGTTTGTGTCTCACATTCTAATTCAGATGTTGAAAGCTGACCCTCCCTTTAAGGTACAGGAGGTGTTTAGTGTATGTGGGTATGCCCCATTTAGGGCATGAATGGCACCAGTCCCATTACAAGAGACTCCAGAGAACAGCACCTTTCAGCATGTGAGACAAGTAAGAAGTCATTGTCTGTGAAACAAAGCTAGCCATACACCAAACATACTGGTGTCTGGGTCTTGGACTTTCAACATCCATGACTGTGAGATATAATTCTGTGTCACCATTTAAGTTACCCATTTATAATCTCTACTTAGAGCAGGCCAAGACACCAGGCTCTTTTATTGTTGCTCACAACATATGTATCCTCCAGGCCACTATGCACATGAGGATATAGTCTATGACGTGAATTACTGACAGACTACAATGGATCTCATTCTAGTATGGATAACATGGCTAAATCAGTGAAGAGATTCTCTTCCTCTCCCACCAATATAATATGTAAGAGCATTACGGGTATAGAATTGTCCATTTCTCAAAGTTCCCCTCACAGTCTACAGTGTCCTACAATTGGTAATTGGGAGGAAATTTCAGAGACCATAAATAGCATATGGCTACTTAATGGTTGAGTGGAGAGTAGGATCCAGGATTCCAATTTCCCATTATGGCTTACACAGACAATAGCAGCATACCAAAGAAGCAGCTACGAAGCCAACAATAAACTGAGAGCACACACTGGGAGTCCAGTGGAAAAATAGCTAGTTCTTTGTCTCTAAGTTGTTTTCTAAAGTATTCTAAAGTTTACTCAGAAAGCCCAAGCAAAAAAGAATGGCAGTGCTCTAACCATAGTTGTGCACACAATCATGCTGGTACATGTTTTTAAAGGGGGAAAATCCCAAAGCAATAAAATAGCCATGTCCCTGCAGGGCCTACAATACTAATAAAAGTCTAAAAATATGAACTCAGATTTTTTTTCAAGGTGGTTAATGACAGCAGCCCATTAGAAAAACACATGGTCCATAAACTTAATGTAAACAAAGTGTTTAACCAAAATGGCAACATCAAAAATGATAAGCCACAAAAGCTTCAAAATTAAACAGAAGTGACCTTTAGAATAAATATTTGCCTTGAATTCTAAGGTAAATGGCAGTGCCTTATTAGATGAATAGTCTTCACAATGCTTTCAGAAATAATGCTTGAATCTGCAATAAAGACAGTGTTTTATTGCTCTACGATTATGTATAAAGTGCAATATTTCTATATTTTCATAACACTTTTTTTTGGTCAGTTGTGGGGCCTGAACTCTAGGCCTGGGCACTGTCCCTCAGCTCTTCAGCTCAAGGCTAGCACTCTACCACTTGAGCCACAGTGCCACTTCCAGCTTTTTCTGCTAATGTGATGCTGAGGAATGGAACCCAGGGCCTTCTGCATGCAAGGCAAGCACTCTACCACTGAACCACCTTCCCAGCCCCTCATAACACACTTTATCTGCATAATCTTTAGCAATAAAAAAGGACTATGGCATGCCCAGGTGACTCCTATCTGTAATCCAAGCTACTCAGGAGTCTGAGATCTTACAATCACAGATAAAATGGCAAGAAAAGCCCATGAGACTTTCACCTCTGATTAGAAAACAAAAAGGCAAAAGCAGAGCTATGGCTCAAGTGGTAGATTACTACCCTTAAGCAAAAAAGCTCAGGGACAACACCCAGGCCCTAAGTTCAAGCTCCAGGACCAGTACCCAAAAAACAAACAAACAAAAAGGACTATTATTTTAACTCAATATAATTTTGCTTATAGCTCTCTCCTTCATTATAATCATTAAGTGATTTTTAGTACCTAGTTTTCTCCTTAAACCCCCAAAGTTTCAATTTTCTCTATGCTGAGTTTCTAAAAAACAAAGTGCATTACAATCTGGCCAATAATAGGAGCTAAAATTTATTGAGAGCATCCCATGTACCACACCTGTGCCACCAGTGTTATATATGTTCTCATTTAATCTTCAAACACAAACTCAAAGAAAAATCAACTAAGTCAACCAGCAAGAAAGTGGCAGAATCTAAACTCAAATTCAAGTACAACAGTTCCTCTTAGCACAGGAGTACATTCCAAAACCCCAACAAATGCCTAAACTGAAGATAGTGCCTAGACTCATTGTATATTTTTCTTAAACATGCATACCTCAGATAAAAGTTGAATTTACAAATTAGGCAAGTAAAGCATTAACAATAACAAGATATAACAATATAATATACTGTAATAAAAGTTACACAAATGTGCATGTGCTCTTTCTCTCTCAAAACATATTACCTTAGCGTACTCAGCCTTTGAGACCATGGCTGAACACAGATGTTGAAACCTGTGTGAAAACACAGAAAATAAAGCTGCCAGTTGGGGAGGACTGGACGCCAGAGATACTTCTGGATAGTGTGTTGTTGCTAACTCAGAAGCATATTCAAGTCATGGAGCACCAGAACTGACTGAAAGAATATCAAGGATCAAGCCTAAAGGAACCCAAGAATATACAATAGTGTTCTATAGGTCTTCTATATCTCATTTTCAGAAAAATATATAAACATGAGAGCAATTCGTGGTCAGTTAAAAAAAAAATTCATGCCAACATCATTCTTTAGAAAGTGCAGAGTGACTCTTAACTTTTTTAGGAAACTTCTTCCTCAAGATTCACATATAAACTTTTGCATTGTTACAGACAGGTCAGATACCTAGAGTCCATCTACTCTTTTAGAATCCCTATTTGATTGGGCTAACTCAAGTGCAGGCGAAAGTGCAATTGTTTCAAATATTAGCATAACTCTGGTCAGGTAAATAATTCTAACTTCAGTGCTTCTAAAGATCTTCCATAAAGAACAAAAGAAAAGAAGACAAGTTCAGCTGCCACCATTGATATACGTACCGTTTTCCTATGCAATTCTTGTCATTCAGGCCACCGACCTTGTTTATGGCAGACCAGGCTGTGAGGGCCACGTATGGCAGAGAGGCAGCTTGAGTATGGGTGAGGGATTTGGGCTTGAAAGAAACCTAGATTTGAAGAGGACAAACAAAATGAGGGGCTTGCAAATCTATTAACACAATTAAGCACTTCGTAGGAGTCCAATTATCCTCAGATATAAATATAACAGACTTCCAAAGTTCAGTGTTTGTTGCACAATGTATTTCAAGATTATTTCTAAAGAATATTCTCCAAAGCTGGGTGCCAGTGGCTCACACCTATAATCATAGCTACTCAGAAGGCTGACAGCTGAAGATCACAGTTTAAAGCCAGACTGGGCAGAAAAGTCTGTGAGACTCTTATCTCCAATTAACCACCAGAAAACCAGAAGTGGCACTGTGGTTCCAAGTGTTAGGAGTGATAGCATTGAGTGAAAAAACTCAGAAGCAATGCCCAGACTCTGAGTTCAAGCCCCACAACTGACAAAAAAAATCTCCAAATAGTTCTTCACCTGCCTCACAGAGATGCTGTACTGTTTGTAGACTATATTATTAGTTACTGTACTGTTTATAAAAAGATTATATGTAATAATCCCATTAGACCAGACTATTTTCAGACAAAAATCTAGTTAAACTTTCAACCCTCATAAACACATTCCAATTTGTTTTTGCAATCAATTGTTTCCTTCACTCCCATTTTCTGGAAAGTAAACTTTCTAGGCCTTCTCCAATCTCAGTAACACCCTTTGACCTCTTTCAAGATCCCTTCTGCAACCAGTTTCCTCAATGCTAACCCTTTCTAGTCAAACATAGATGCTCTACCACTTGAGTGTCCCCAGTCAGATATATTTGAGAGCAGTTTTTTCTTTGTTTCTGCTTTTGTTTTTGCAGTACAGAGGGATCCTCTACACTTGAGCCAGGGCACCTTCTACATATGAACTACGCTCCCAAAGATTTTGTTGCGATATGGCTTAATTTTGCCTGAGCTTCTTCTCAACTCTTCATCCTCCTGCCTTTGCTTCCTGAATAGTTTGTTAATTATAGCCCTGCAACACCATGCTAGCCTTAGGCTCCTGTGTTTAAAGTGATTCAAAACAACTTGACACTTCCATGCCTAAATGTGACTAATCCATACTCTCTTGGGCACATTTGGTTTCACTGTTTATATGACGCAGAGTTAAGTAACACAACGGTATTCTAGACCTCATATCATATCCCCTCTTCATTAGGCAAAGATAACTGCTCTGGTAGGCAGTGCTAGTGAGTCATACCAAATCCTTAGTCTTTCAAAAATTCATTTGTTTTGGCTCCCTTAAAACTTACCATAAAACATAAACCTGACCTGAAAACAAGCAATCATTTCAAAGATATGTCAGTTTGTTTTTAGATTTTCTAATGGCATTTCAGCAAAGATGGTGAGTTACCTCATTCCCACTGACTACAACAAATTCTGAGAGGGTGCCTTGTTTCCAAGGAGGAACTGCAGCCCAGACCTGAAACACACAGACATACAACCTTCGTCAGAGGCATGGAAATGTTATGACCAAAAGTAAGGATGAAGGTGCTCCTATTCTCTGTGAACGATATACAAAAAGAATTAGCATATAATAACACTATAATAACAAATTAGGAGTTTGCATTGATCAGGTAAAACTCCACTGAAAGCAGAGGCCACTAACTACTAACTGACTGTGGCACTAACTACTCAAGAGTTCCAGTAAGATCCTGGTCTTTGATTTGAATCCTGGCTCAAGCACTGCTTAGCTCTGGAACTTTTTATAGCATGGCTCCTTCATCTGTGTACTGGGGAGGGGGGACCAAGATGGCGACGGGGCAGTAGGGAAACGCCACAGCTCTCTCCAACCAAAAAGAGAGTTCGAGTTCCAACGCTTAATCTCCCCAAGAGACCGACATCTGTGTACTGGGCCAAGTACCATCCATCTCACAGGGATTAGTTACTGATGTGAAGCAACCAAAATACTGTTCTCATGAACTCATTACAATCTCTTGTCACAAATGTTCAAAGTGACAAGTGACAGGAAACTATAACAAACAGCTATTTTAAGATTATCTAATCTACAGGTAGAAATTGTCACTTAAAGGCCCTTCCAACAAAAACAAAGTAGCTCCAATTTTAAAGTCTTAGTTGTTTTGTTTTGTTTTGCTTTGTTGGTGGTACTTGGGCTTGAACTCAGGGCCTTGAACTTGCAAAGACAGATGCTCTACCACTTGAGCTATGTCTCTAGTCATTTTTCACTTTTTCAGTTTTTTGGAGGGTTTTTTTGTGTTTTATATAAGAGTTGACTTAAAGACCACAATCCTGTGCCATTACACGCACACACACACACACACACACACACATACGCACACACACACACACACACACACACACACACACACACACATATCACATCCACACTTGTTGGTTTCAAGACTCACCCAGTCCTGTGATTCATAAGCATTCCATTTAGACAGATCAAGTTTTCTAATAGTAGTCAAGCTATTTTTAATTATTTGAAAAGCATAACAGCAAAGTCAAAAATACTGACCAAGGCTCAATACATTTACAGAAAAGAAGAAAAGTGGCCAGTGGTGTAGACATACTTCCCAAAGAGGCAGAAGGCACATTTAGAATGAAGGAATAAAAAATAAGAAATAAGGAATAAAAGGTTTAACACAGCGGCGCTAGTGGCTCATGCCGGTAATCCTAGCTACTCAGGAGGCTGAGATCTGAGGATCACGGTTCAAAGCCAGCCTGGGCAGGAAAAGCTGTGAAACTCTTATCTCCAATAAACCACCAGAAAACCAGAAGTGGCGCTGTGGCTCAAGTGGTAGAGCGGTAGGCATGAGCTGAAGACCTGAGGGACAGTGCTCAGGCCCAGAGTTTAAGCCCCATTACCAACAAAAAAAAAAAAAGGTTTAACACACCTCATCTCCAGGCTTGAAGTACTTCACGTCCAGTCCACACTCCATCACCACACCAGAGACATCCCGACCCAGAGTCAGAGGAAATTCCTCTCCTCTGGTTCCTATGTGTAAAGGATCACGCTTCATATTCAAAGCTGTTGCTCCATAGCCACCTACAAACCACAATTTAGCCATTTATTCTGAAACCAAGAGCAATATGATTTTTAAACAACTACAGGACACAGGCCAAGAACAATGTTAGCATCTTAAGATGTAGATTATAAATGGATTAACATTTTATAACTTTTTGACACCACACAGGAAAACATAAAAACAATGGGACATTTTATTTAAAGAAAATTACTTGGATAATCACAATCACTTATAAACTGAAGCCACCATTGCTTAAAATCTCTTTGAAATAGATTGTGAAATTGTCCAGAACTTTGAGTGATGTTGATCTGGTCAAGAAGCTCAGTAATAAATTGTTTTCCTAGCATGCCTGAGGTCCTGGGTTCAATTTCCAGCACCATAAATAAATAAATACTAAGACCTTCTAGTATTGTGTGTGTATACACACACATATGTATATGCATATATATGTACATATACTTTGTCTCTAAAGATGGTTCTTTACTAATTTATTAATTTGTGGACTTTTTTTGTCATCTAGCCCAGGCTGTCCTTGAACTCGAGATCCTCTAGTCCCCATCTCTGTGTTTGTGATTATTGGCTGTACCACCAGGCCTGGCTCATTTATGAACTTTTCTCTGTGTATGTGCACACACATATGCAATCCTGGGACTTGAATTCAGACCCTGGGTGCCAACACTGAACTTTTTGTTTTGCTCAAGGCTAGCACTCTACCACTTGAGCCACAGCACTACTTCCAGTTTTTTTGTTAATTGGAACTGCTCCAGTTGACTCCAAACTGCCATCCCCAAATCTCAGCTGCCTGAGTAGTTAGAATTACAGGCATGAGCCACCAAACCCTGCTCGTTCATGAACATTTTAAATAACAAAATATGTGGTGCCAAGTCTGGTAAAGAACACAAATGTTAAAATATTAATATTAATATTAAAAGTTAATGAATAAACAAGGCATGACTATAAAGTACTGGCACTGATTTGTAAGTTCTCATCTCCTAAAAGTCTTTCCAGAAAAATGACTTTAGATTCAGCACTGAGATTCCTGACTGGAAAAGAGCCACTGGGCTGTGTCGGTTCTGATGCCATAAATCAGATCAGCTGCTTTACTCTACATATCCTACATAAATGTCAGTTTCAAAAAGCTGAAAATTTTTTTTGGTTCTAAAAACTGGCTACTCTATCAGCAATAATACAAAGTAGTTTATTATGTAACTTCAATATATAAGATGACTTTTCAAAGACTTAGAAGTATTTTTCTTCTGCTCAACTTGTTTCTGAGTGTCTTCTTTCTATGGTAGGCTCTCCAGAGTCATATGCTTCTCTTTGCCCAGCAACATATGTCTGATGACTTTCCTACCCTTTAAGTCTCCCCTTGCCCCTTATTCACCCTGGGGGCAGTGTCACACTACACATCAAGAACAAAAAGCATCCAGCCAAGGGGCCAAGAGGGCATGCCCAGTGAGGACAGAAATATCCCAAAAGTCAAATGGTCAAGAAGGTCCTTGAAAGATGCCAAACTCATTAGGTTTGCAAATCAGGTCAACAGCAGCTAAGGGGCTTAAAAAAAAAAAAAGCAGTCCAACAACATATAGACTTAGATAGGAATACCTGTTCTGATGAGGTGCTTGAGAGAAAATGGGAAGACTGTGTGAAGATTCAACTCTCTCAAACAGATCTGTTAAAAGGGAAACAAAAATAAAGCAGTAGCTGGGCAGGACAGAGCAGGACAGGGCAGGAAGGGGGACAGGATAGAGGAAGAGTTTTTCAGTGATTTTCCCTCCTCCCAGAGGGAGAAATGATAGCAAATTTGTGTGTGATGTGAATAATCCAGAAGAAAAGAAGAAATTTAAAAAGGCAGAAGAGAATTGGTAAAATGATAGCCCAGGGTAGGAGAGAGGGGTTGAGATCAAGAACACAAGCAGAAGGCTGGCCCTAGATGGATGGCAGCAATGACAGTCCAGCGGCAAAAGGCAAAGTAAATACAGAGAGCTGCTGACAGGTGGATTCGCTTGCAAGAGTTGTTTTTCTAATGAAAAATCAAGGCACATTGGAGAAAGTGTTTGAAAGCTGAGACAGTCTCAGAAAAATCTAAGCTGAGAAATCATTATGCCAGCATGACACAACTACCATCTGGAGAGTTCAGACTGTATCTATCAGAGGGAGTGGAGGGTGGGAGTTGTGGTGTGGGGGAGAGGGGAGAAACTTTACATGTGAGATTCATAAAGATTACAAATTCACTTTTCCTGTCTCACATTCCTTTCATTGTTAAGAGAAGCAATTACTCACTGAAACTATGTTATGTGGTTTGAGCAACAGCAGTGGGCATTAAGCCATACCAAAGTTCAGCTTGTTTCAGAGCTGCAAAAAGGTTTCAGTTCTTTTTAGGGTTCAAGCCAGGAGAGCTAGGATGTTTATTAACTATTCTTTGTAACCGTAATATACTAATGCATCAAGTGTAGCCATGACACACTGGTAATATCCAAACTGACCCCATATCCAGAAGGCAGCTAGCCAGTAGTTGCTGCTTGGTGAGAATGAATAGGGCTCCTAAGAGTTTCTTCTCATTGACAGAGGTTTCACTTGTTCAGAGTTGGGTTGATTTGGAAAAATAAAAATCAATAAATCTGTCAGCAGCTTCAAAGACTTTATTTCCACTAAAGAAACTAAGTTTTGTTGATGTTATGCTGTATTTTTTAATTTCCTCATTTTTCTAGTCCTTTCTAACAGTTATTATTTTAATCCAACAGTAGCAATCTTTAGAAAACAGCCAGCCATCACCTTTCAAAATAAAGTACACACACTCTGTGCTTTCTTGTCAAGAGAAGTAATTGCTTCTGAGAGTTTTTACAATCTTCTACTAATTATTTTATTTCCCCAAGCTACCATCTGCAAAAACAATAACACTTTCTTGAAAAGAATCCATGGACAGTAGGATAACTTGCAAATAGTACTCCCAGACAAGTCACAAAACACCAAACTATCTCAAGAATACTCAATAAAAGTAAAATGTATGCTGAATAACAACCAAGGAAGTCCAAATGCAGCTCTTCTACTGAGATAAAAACATTAACACAACACACATCGTGTAAATGCATCCCGTAAAACAAAAGTGCCTTCAAGCCCATTGTAAAAAGAATACAGAATAAAAAATAGCAATGATAACTTCAAAACAAAACTACAGTTCGAAATGCAGCTTCATGGTAGTTTGCTTGGCATGCTCCAGGCCCTGGGTTCAATCCTCAACAACACAAAAGAAAAAATAGACTTCATAAGACAAAAATGAGTATTTCAATTTTCATTCTTGTTTATTAGAGATAAGATTCAAACTTTCCTGCCCAGGCTGGTTTCAAACCACGATCCTCAGATCTCAGCCTCCTGAGCAGCTAGGATTGATTACAGGAGTAAGCCACACTTGTATATGGCCTCAATTCACTGTGTGTGTGTGTGTGTGTGTGTGTGTGTGTGTGTGTGTGTGTGTGTGTGTGTGTGTGTGTGTGTGTGTGTGTGTGTGTGTGTGTGTGTGTGTGTGTGCGCACTTGCATATGACCTCAATTCACTCTGTGTGTGTGTGTGTGTGTGTGTGTGTGTTATGGCCTCAATTCACTCTGTGTGTGTGTGTGTGCACTTGCATATGACCTCAATTCACTCTGTGTGTGTGTGTGTGTGTGTGTGTGTTATGGCCTCAATTCACTCTGTGTGTGTGTGTGTGTGTGTGTGTGTGTGTGTGTGTGCACTTGCATATGACCTCAATTCACTCTGTGTGTGTGTGTGTGTGTGTGTGTGTGTGTGTGTTGTGGGCCTTGAACTCTGGGCCTGGGTGCTGTCCCTGAACTCTTCAGCACAAGGCAAGAACTCTACCACTTAAGCCACAGTGCCACTTTGGTTTTCTGGTGGTTAATTGGAGATAAGTCTCATGGACTATCCTGCTCAGGCTGGCTTTGAACACTGATCCTCAAATCTCAGTAGTTAGGATTACAGGCATGAGCCATGGTTGCCCAGCTTTCAATTTACTTTTTTTTTTTTTTTTTTGGGGGGGGGGGTCCAGTCGTGGGACCTGAACTTTGGACCTGGGTGCTGTCCCTCAACTCTTCAGCTCAAGGATAGCACTCTACCACTTGAGCCACAGCGCCACTTCCAGCTTTTTTTTTCTGCTTATGTGGTGCTGAGGAATCGAACCCACGGCCTCATGCATGCAAGGGAAGAGCTCAACTCCTGAGCCACCTTCCCAGCCCTCAATTCACTTTTAATAGAGCCTTCTAACCACAAACATTTTAAGACTCCAAAGTCTTCCTCTAAACCTCTTCCCCAAAATACATAAATGTGCAATATAATTATTCTCAGATTGTCTAGTCCAGTGCTATCCAATAGAAATATCACAAGCTACAATACATACTTTAATACTGAATTTATTTTGGGATTATTTCACTCAAAATATCCACAACACTGTCATGTAATCAATATTTAATTTTTGTATTTTAAGATGAGGATCACCATGTAGCCCAAGTGGCCTGAAATTTTAAATTCTCTGGCCTCTACCTCCCAGATGCTGGTATTATAGCCATGTAACAACTTTTGAGGGGGTGGGGAAGGGATGTTGCTTTTTTTAAATGCTAAGGATGTAGCCCACCATCTTCTGCAAGGTAGGCAAGTCCTATACAACCGAGCTATACCTCCTAACAAATTATATCCAACTTCATGGCAGTGAATGTGCATTTCCCTAAACCAGAACTTCGAGTTTGTTATGCCCTAGTCTTTTCAAGGAGTCCAAGTCCTTTCCTTCTCAAAAATCTATCTTTGTGCAACAGATTGAATACAGAAGTACTTATGAACATAAGTAGACAGCAAAGAGATATGTAAAGCTGTAAATAAAAAGGCTACCCTTTCATTAAATTTTCTCATTTTACAAAATAGTTTTTTTCACTATAACTTTTTTTTTTTAATGCTACTGACATTTGAACTGGCTTTGTGCTTGCTAGGCAGATGCTCTACTGCTTAAGCCAAGACTGTCCATTTTTTTGCTACAGTTACTGTTGAGATAAGGTATGGTATTTCAGCCCCAGCCAGTCTAGCCCATGATCTTCCTAATTTATACCTTCTGACGTGGCTGGGATGACAGGCACTTGCCATCACACCCAGTTTTTCTGTTGAGATGAGATCCTGCAATTTTTTTTTTAACCTGAATTAGCCTATAACTGTGATCCTTCCAATCTCAGCCTCCTGAGTACCTGGGATTTACAGGGATAAGCCACCGTACCTCGCTTCATTATAACCTCTTTGATAGTAAAACTCAGGCTCTATCAATTACTTGTTTCAGTACATCACATATGTTCTCGTCTCTCAATCATTATGCATTTTTCGCACAGTCATTTTATATTTTTTCTCCTGATTTAATTTTAATCAGTTATGATAAAACAAAGAAATAGTTTAACATTTTAGTTTTGCTTTCTAATAATATAACTATAGCTCACCTAAATTCTAGTCATTTTTAAGTGCAAAGAGGTCTTGAAGCCAAAAGATAGGAAGAAGATAGGAAAAAGAAGGAAGGAAGGAAGGAAAGAGGGAGAAAAGGAAGGAAAGAAGGAAGGAAAGAAAGAAAGGAGGGAGAGAGGGATGGAGGAAGAAAAGAGAAGGAAAGAAGAGAAAAGAAAATGATTGTCACTGTATTACATCACTTCAGGTGGGGGGAAATGTTGAAGTCAAACACATCTCTATAAAGCCCATGAACTGTTTCCTTCTATCATTAATCTTTTGATTATATAATTGGATACATACATGGAAAAACAAATCCATCATACATAGATGAATTCTCATCATATATGAGAATTGTTATTGAGGTACAAATAGCCCTTAAAAACAGTGACCCATGCTTAAATGAAACTACAGACAGCAGCTTATAACACAGAGGCTAACTACCCTGTGATTAACACTGACCTTAATCACCCCAAAAGAGGTTTTTCAATTTCTTCAGGAGACATAGATGAGTTCCCATCAGCAAGACTAACAGCATTTTTGTCATTTTTCCCCCAAAGTTAAAGTATTTCACCAATACAAATCAATCTTTTTTTTCTGCACTATAATAATAATCCTTGTATATATTTAAGGAATATAGAGCTCTTCAAGCTTTTGTCAGTGCCTACCCATCATATATTTTTGCAACCTAGAAAGGAACAGAAGAGGAAAAGTTGTTTTGTTTGTTGTTTTTGTGTGTGTTTTGTTTTGTATTTTGGGGGGGGGTGTCTGTTGTGGGGCTTGACCTCAGGGCCTGGGTGATGTCCCTGAGGCATTTTGTGCCCAAGGCTAGTGCTCTACCACTTGAGCCACAGCACCACTTCCTGTTTTTGAGTGGTTAATTGGAGATAAGGGTCTCGTGGACACTTTTCTGCCCAGGCTGGCTTCAAACTGTGATCCTCAGATTTCAGCCTCCTGAATGCTGAAATAAGTCATACACTTCTATGGGAAATAGAAAGGTATATTTTACCCGCTTGAAAAAAAAAAGATGAACTAGAAGAAAATGTGCTCATATCCTATTTAGAAGTAAGAAGTGTTGTTGCTTTGCTCATTGGATCAATAAAAGAAATTGTGTGAGCTCTACTAGATCAACTGGTAGGCAGGCACTGAATTCAGGCTCAGTCCTCCAGTAAGCAAAAGCAGAGCAAAGAAAATAGGTACTATAAAAATGCAAATTCAATCTGAGGATCAGGGTTCAAAGCCAGCCCAGGCAGGAAAGTCTGTTAGACTCTTATCTCCAATAAACCACTAGAAAACCAGAAGTGGCGCTGTGGCTCAAGCCGTAGAGCACTTGTGTTGAGCTGAAGAGTTCAAGCCCCAGGACCAACAAAAAACAAAAATGCAAATTCAGAACTGATGCAGAAACAACAAAACCTCTCAAACCTGTGATGGATCTAAGATTGCCATGAAAAGTAGACTTCTCCCATTCCCAATTTACTTTTTGAAGAAACATGGGCAAATAATCAAATTTACATTTTGTAAAAGATTAAAGTATATTCAGGCCATTCAGATTTCAAATTTTTCAGAAATATTTAGTGGTATAAAAATTCTAAATGATTCCTTCCTGTCAGTAAAAGTGTAGTCAAATAAAAAGTGACATATATATATATTTGCAGTAAAAGTGTAGTCAAATAAAGTAATATATATGTGCACATATATATGTACACACACACACACACATATGCCTAGCCAAATGTGGTAATACCATCTGTAATCCCAGCACTAAAGCAGGATGATTTGAGCAGGAAGCCAGATTGGGCTACAAAGGGAGGCTCAGTCTCAAAACAAAACAAAACAAAACAAACAGCTGGGCGTTGATGGCTCAGGCCAGTAATCCACTCAGGAGGCTGAGATTTGAGGATCGTAGTTAAAAGCCAGCTGAGACAGAAAACACCAGGAGACTTATCTCCAATAAACCACTCAGAACCGGAAGTGGCACTGTGGCTCAAGTGGTAGTGCACTAGCCTTAAGCTGAAGAGCACAGGGCCAGCGCCTAGGCCCAAAGTACAAGCCCCACGACCGACCAAAAAAAAAAAAAAAAAGAAAAAGAAAAAAGAACAAAATAACGGCATGCCTAGCAAAATTCTTACTTTAAAAACAAGGTAACCAAAACCATCTCGGAAAACTTACTTCTCATATTAACATCTATAGGATTTACACTGGCAGCATGGACCTTGATAATAACTTCATTTGGATAGTTGATGACAGGTAGCATCATATTCTCTGTGAATCGAAGGACTTCATTCTTCCCGTATTTATCTATCACCCAAGCGGGCATGACACTGTTCCTTGGAGAGGTAGTACTAATCTTCCTAATCAAAGACTTGGGTACAGCTTTGCTTCTCCAGAAACAGGCCGCGACACCAGCATTTCTTCTAAGGAGGCAAGTCTTCAAAACTTCCATGGTAAACAGTGGTGGCACTGGGTTCTCCAATAAAATGCACTCAAATGTTCACCCCTAAAGTAGGGCCTTCTTCCAAACACCCTAGACCGTGTTCAACACTGAGCATTCACTCAAACATGAAGTAACCAGATGGGACAACTAAAGAAAGAACGTGCAATTACTATTCCGCACTTGGCATGAGAAACGCGCCGATTCACGTTCCACCAGGATTCCGTCCGTTCTCCTCCCTCCCTGACATCCCCCCTCCCCTAAAAAGAAAGAAAGAAACGTCCTGCTCCGGGTCTGGTCCGTGGCCCCACGGCGGGACCAGTGCGGGCCACCCCGAAGCAAAGCGGAAGCAGAGGCTTCCAACTCCCGCCGCGACCCCCGGCCGCCGTCTCCTTGCCTGTCTCCTCTCCAGAGCCGCCGGCGAAAGCTCCAGAGCGCGAACCAATCGTGTGCTGGGATCATTTCCTCGAGCTGTGAATTGACCAATCCGAAGCCTCCGTGTTGGAGGCTCCGTGACGATCCAAGATGGCTGCGCCCATGTAATACCGGCGACTGCTCCTGACCTCTTTTTTCCCTCCGGTCACCTGGCCTAAGTGTGGACCGGCTGAACACGGGGACTATGCTGGGCCAGACTCTCCGAGAGGTGAGTGAAATTAGCCTGGTGGGATCCCCTGGAAAAAGGGAGCCGTCCCGGGGCCTGAGAACGCCTGTTGGGCCCATTGGCCGGATTCGGTTGGGGACTCGCACCTCAGTCCTGAGACTGTAGCCCCCATTCCTCAGGGAGGAGATCTGCACCGCGGAGCTGTGGGGGGAAGCGCAGGTCGTTTGTGTAGCCTTGGGCCGAGATCGGGCTTGATCAGCTGGTCCAGTCTCTCTCCTGTGCCAGGTGGTACGGTTCTCACTCATGGGCATGGCGAACCGGTACCATACAACATTAAAACCAATAGTTGATGGTTGCGGGGGCCGGGGGGAGTCTTGTATTAGGGTCTTGACCAACAAGAAAGTCATTCTTAGGCTTCAGGTGCCACCAAGATAACCTGATTCCCAACCACTGCCTCCATTACCTGGCCACATTCTCCAGGGCCTTCTGGACATTCCAAATGTCTCACACTCACACTCTAACCAAGATTCAAGTCATCCTTGTAACGGTATGAAAACAAACACCCTTCATCTTCCTGGATTCTTAAAAAAAAAAAAATCCTTTAAATAGCATAACTGTTATCTCTTTTACTCTTCAATTGTCCAGCTAGGATATCTAATAAATCACCAGGCTCTCCTATCTTGTAAATGTGACTACAGTGGGTTTTTTTTTTCTCACTTTATTTCTGCTGTTACGGCTTTAATTGGGTTCACCTTGCTTTCTGGCCCAGATTTTAAAGTCTGCAGGCACTGAAATTAGAATCACCTGGGGCTTTTTGTAAGCTACAAGTCTCTTTTCACTGTAGACATAAACAGATCTGTAGGGTAAGTCCCAGACTGTTTTAACCTGGTTCCCAGGTGATTTCTTTGTTGAAGGACATATCCTGCCTTCCATCTTCTCTGTATCTCCACTTAGGAAGGCTCTCTTCTTTCAGCTGATAGTGTTTTTAAAAGTTATAAATGATAAAATGACCTTTAAATATACAGGTTTTAAATATTAAATTTTTTTTTTTTTTTTTTTTTTTTTTTTTTGCTATAAAATACTGCTTTACTACCCTAGTTTGGCAAAGAGTCCTCTTTTTTTTCTTTTTTTTTTGCAGTGGTGGGACTTGAACTCTGCCTCGGAGCTAACCGCTGAGCTCTTCAGCTCCAGGCAAGTGCTCTACCACTTGAGCCACAGTACCACTTCTGATTTTCTGCTGGTTAATTGGAGATAAGAGTCTCATGGACTTTCCTCCCCCACTTGGCTTTGAACCACAATTCTCAGATCTCAGCCTTCCAAGTAGCTAGGATTCCAGGCGTGAGCCAGCAGCGCCCAGCTAGAGTATTATTTTTGAAGAATCAAATTTGTTTTGTAAAATTCCAGAGTGTCTCAATTGATAAGACTCCCTGCTTAGAAGGTGTCCCTGGGAGTGTAAACTTGTTCAACCACTTTGGAAAGCAGTATGGAGGACTACACATAGAGCTCCCCTGTGACCCAGCAGCCCCACTTTTAGGCATTTACCCAAATGATCACAAACAAGGCCATACTGAAGCTACCAGCACAACTATGCTTATTGCAGCATTATTCACATAGCTAAGATATGGAACCAACCCAGATGCCTCTCAGTAGATAAGTGAATCAAGAAAATGTGGTATATATATAATGAAATTCTATGTCTACATCAGAAAGAATGACACCGCTCCATTTGTTAGGAAATGGAAAAGTTTGGAAAAAATTATATTAAGTGAGGTAAACTAGACCCAAAGAAACATAGGCCCTATGGTTTCCCTTATTTGCAATAACTAGTATACGTCTAGGATAATCTTACCAGACAAGCAGAAGGTCAGGAGTACATATGAGCATATAAGATGATGCTAAGCGAAATGAACCCCAAGATAGGGATACAAGAGGTTTTATCTTTGTCGCTGTTGTTTTAAATGTACTGTGAGATTTTTTTTATTCTTTTGTGTGTTCTTCCTCCATGGTATAACCCCTGTTTTCACTGTACTTGATTCCGGTGCCCTGCATCTTGTATATGCATTTTTTCTAATTTGGGGAGGGGAAGGGAAAATAGCAAAATGCTGAAACAAGGATACAGGTTGACCCATTGTAACAGTGAGATGTACGAGACACTATGTTGAAAATGAACTTTACAACTGGGGGGGGGGGGGGCAGAGGGAGGAGGTGGGAAGGGAAGGGATAGTAGGGGAAAAACAAAAGAGGGGGTAACAATGCTTGATAGGAAATGTACTCATTACCTTACTCATGTAACTGTAATCCCTCTGTACAGTATCTTTACAATAATGTGTGTGTGTGTGTGTGTGTGTGTATAGAACGTGTGAGGCCCTGAGTTTCAAACCTAGTTCTGGGTAATAAACTTACTAAGGAAAAAAAAATCCCAAAACCTATTTGAAATACAACCTATAAAAATCTGGTGTTTTAGTTTAGGAGTTGGTGGTGGTTCATGCCTGTAATCCTAGCTACCGAGGAGGAAAAACCATGTGGAGTTGTTGACCCAAAGGAAGACCAAGGGGTTGCCTTACTTTCACTTCCTTACCCCCAAAAGTTGCTTCTGTCCACTCTGTTTTTCTAGGTCATTGTTCTGATGCCTCCCATTCTACCTATTAGAGATTAATTCAGTATATGTTCTCTCTTAAATGTGTACCAATGCCTAGGATGATTGAACGATTTTTCTCATTGGAAATTATTGCACCTTAATCAAATTTCTTGTGTATAGTTGGGCACCAGTGGCTCATGCCTGTAATCCTAGCTACTTAGGAGGCTGAGATCTGAGGATCGCAGTTCAGAGCCAGCCCAGGCAGGAAAGTCTGTGAAACTCTTATCTTTAATTAACCTCCAGAAAATCAGAAGTGGCTCTGTAGCTCAAGTGGTAGAACACTCACCTTGAGCTGAAGAGCTCAGGGACAGTGCCCAAGCTCAGAGTTCAAGCCCCATCATGACCTACAAAAAAAAATTCTTGTGTGTGCGTGTATACACATTCACATACTAGTTCTAGGGCTTGAACTCAGGGCCTCGCCACTGTCCCAGAGCTTTTTTTGCTGAAGAGACAATACTTGAGCCACAGCTCTACTTCTGGCTTTTGATGGATTACTAGAGATAAAAGAGTCTCAAGGACTTTCTTGCCCTGGCTGGCTTCTGACCATGATCCTCAGATCTCAACCTCCTGAGTAGCTTGGATTACAGGCATCAACCAATGTAAGTTGAAACAATAATTGAAGAAAGAAGGGAGTAAGAGAGGGGAGCTGGAAACTGGATATCTGAAGCTACTTAGGGACTATAAATGGAAGTCTAGGACAACAGAAGAGCACTGGGAAGAATCACTGAAAGGAGGTAGGGTGATAAATAGGAAGTAAAACTCTACATGTAAAATTTACTCAGGTACATTTAGAAAGTTGGAACTATTTCACTTTTAACTTTTTGCTTACCTTTCTCAGTGTTTCTTGGAGTTAGACATTAATTATAACTTTTAATAATAGTCTTCTTGAAGATCTAAACTAAAAATAATTTATTTGTTCTGAAGTGAAATACTGTTTACTTATTCAGCTAACATTCATTGAGCACCTCTGTGTTCCAAACACTAGGGATTAGCATTGAAGACAGATTTCTTATCCTTGTGCAACATACTATTTTTTTTGTAGGAAAGCAAGAACTGATTTTTTTTTTGGGGGGGGGGGGTCCGGTCGTGGGGCCTGAACTCTGGGCCTGAGCGCTGTCCCTCAGCTCTTCAGCTCAAGGCTAGCGCTCTACCACTTGAGCCACAGTGCCACTTCTGGCTTTTTTTTTTCTTGCTTATGTGGTGCTGAGGAATCGAACCCAGGGCCTCAGGCATGCAAGGCAAGCGCTCTACCTCTGAGCCAACTTCCCAGCCCAGAACTGATATTTTTTAAATGAAGGATACAATTTCAAGTAATATAAATATTCTGGAGAAAAATAGTTCTAGTTGTGGAAGCTAGATGGTTTATAGAAAGTTGCCTATCTAATCAGGAACATTTCTCTAATTGAGTAGATGGTACTTGAGATGTGTAAGGATATGAAGGGAAGATATGGGAGAATTACGCCCAGGTATAATGAACAATAATATATACAAAGACTAAGAAGAGTAAGCTTCACATATTAAAGGAATGTCTGAAGGCCAGAATACCTAGAGAGAAGTAAATGAGGTTTGGGGAAGAGAGGGACAGCAAGAGCCAAATCATAGCTTTTGAAGCTGACCACAGTACAGAATGCAGATTTTACTTAAAGTGTACGGAGAAACCTTGAAAAATTTTGAATTTGTGGACATGTTCTGATTTAACTTTTTTTTTTTTGCTGGTCATAGGGACTGAACTCAGGGCCTCAGCTCTTCAGCTCAAGACTAGTGCTCTACCACTTGAGCCACAGCTCCACTTCTGGTTTTTTCTGCTTATGTGGTGCTGAGGAATTGAACTCAGGGCTTCCAGCATGCAAGGCAAGCACTCTACCACTGAGCCACCTTCCCAGCCCTTATTTAACATTTAAAAGCTTTTTCTTTTTTGTTTTTTTTGGGTTCGGTCGTGGGGCCTGAACTCTGGGCCTGGGTGCTGTCCCTCAGCTCTTCAGCTCAAGGCTAGCACTCTACCACTTGAGCCACAGCGCCACTTCCAGCTTTTTTCTTTTTGCTTATGTGGTGCTGAGGAATTGAACCCAGGGCCTCAGCCATGCAAAGGCAAGTGCTCTACCACTGAGCCACCTTCCCAGCCCCTTA